TATGTAAATAATTACAACATGTTAAAAACAAAAAAATAAAAAAACCTTGACCGAAGAAAGTCACCACTGAAGTCTTGTAATTTTTTCTTCTCACAAAAGCGTGTCAATTGCATTAGGATTGACTAGACACATCCGTCTCCACTAATTAACAGTTAGTTGTCAACATGTCTCAATGACCACACAAATGGGCATTCACTTAACGCCATCTCTTATTCAGTTCGAGGAAAAAGAGGAGAGAAATCATGTTTTTTTCTTGATTATATTAAAATTAAAATTAATTGACTGTTACGCGTTAATATATCTCAACAACTGCACCTGGGTCTAGAGGCCTACTGGTATTAGCCAGCTTATTAGATGCATTCCTCCCTCTCCTGGGCGGGATTCGAACCCGTCCTTTGTCAAAATGTTCAAAAAAATATATATATCTCAACAACTAAATAGAAGTACTATATTTTATTTAGTTTAAGAAAAAAAAAAAAAGAAGAGGAAAAATGTTTTTTTTTCTCTTAATTATATTCAATTTTTTGAAAAAAAATTAAAGGGAACTCTCACCACTCACCTTTCTTTTCTTTTCTTTTTTTATCTAAATAAAAAAATTTATTTTACTCTCTCTTCACTTTTTTTTTTCTCACTTTCAAATCAAACAAGTTATAATTAAGCTTGTTTTTATTATTAGTAAATCACTTAAATTACTTGTTTAAAACAAAATTTATATTAGTGAGAAATGGCATTTTTTCCATTCCGAAAGCTAATAACATGCATCTTGAAATTCTTCAATAGACTCATAGAGATACATAAAATCAACACGTCCCAACTATAGATGGATTGGTTAGGGAATTTGATCTTTGTTATGAGACACGTTTTAGTCCACGCTTATTCATTTCAAGCTCACCTCACAACGATACAATTCTTAAGACCATAATGGATTTTGATAATGCTATTAGAAAGGTATGTGGACTAATCAAGCCTTTTATTTTACGTCGGTCGGTGTTACAACCTTTTAAGTCAACCAAAAAATCTAAAGGAAAATTCTCAGCAACATCAGTATCATCATAGAACTTTTGACGAGGAGTGCTTTCTGGGAAAATCACCTTACTACTGCTGATCTTAACACTAATATAAGTGCATCTCTTCAACAATGAGTTAAATTCACCATCCCCAATATCTATTTCCTGCAACATTATTACAAGATCATGGATTGTTCCAACAAACATGAAATTGCTGTCTTGACAGAGGTCCTTAGCATTGCAGCCATGGTTCTTTGCATCCAAGTCGCAATTTCCAATGCTGCTTGCCACGAAAACGAGAAGCAAGCTCTTTTGGCGTTCAAGCAAGACCTGACAGATCCTGCAAATCGACTTGCTTCTTGGACTGCTGATCGGGATTGCTGCAACTGGGCCGGAGTTGTTTGCCACAACAGAACCGGTCATGTCCTGAAGCTCCGCCTGGGGAATCTCCATGATCCCAATGAAGATCTCGTCTTACCTGGAAAGGTTTTCGAGAGCACAGGAATTGGTGGAAAAATAAATCCTTCTTTGCTCGATCTGAAGCATCTCCGGTACTTGGATTTAAGTGGAAGTGATTTTGGAGGAGTGGAGATTCCCAAATTCCTGGGTTCTTTACAGAATCTAAGGTATCTGAATCTCTCTATTTCTGGGTTTGGAGGACTAATTCCTCCTGAACTAGGAAATCTGACGAATCTCCGGTACCTCGATATCGAAGGTCTTTTCCCAATTTTGTTCTCAGAGAATCTTCAATGGCTCTCCAATCTTCAACAACTGCAATACCTGGATTTGAGCACCATGGATCTTAGCAGAGCTTCAGATTGGTTACAGGTAACCAATGAACTCCCTTCTTTGGTAGAATTGCGGCTGCCTTATTGTCAGCTTGGTCATATTCCTCGGTTACCAAATGTCAATTTTTCCTCTCTAGAAATTCTTGATCTTTCCTATAATGGATTGAG